TTGCTAGCTGCAACTCCAATTGTGCTTTGGCCTTCCTGACTTCATCCCTGCATGTCTGAGCAATGTTCTTATATTCTTCCCTAGTTATTTGTACAAGTTTCCACTTTTTATAAGCTTCCTTTTTGTTATTTAGTTTAATGAAGAGTTCCCTGCTAAGCCAAGCTGGTCTTCTGCCATATTTGCTAGTCTTCCTGCATATTGGGATGGCTTGTTCCTGCACTCTCAGTAAGACATCTTTGAAGTACAGCCAGCTCTCCTAGACTCCTCTCCCCATCAGTCTGCCTTCCCAGGTGATCCTACCCATGAGTTCCTTGAGTGAGTCAAAGTCTGCTTTTCTGAAATCCAGGGTCCTCACTCTGCTTCTCTCCATCCTTCCTTTCCTCAAGATCCTGCACTCAATAATGAGTTTGCATCATTGCAAACTAAACTACATGTTGACGTAGTTTAGTTTGCAACATTGCAAATTGCAATGATGCAGCTGTCAGCTCTCTCTGGCTGCGGGAGAGGTGGGCAGGTTCCACAGAAAAAAGGATCGGGCCCCTCGCCATAATGTGATGGAAAAATTGAAATGGTGGTTTTCAATTAAAAACCCACCATTTCAATTTAGAGGGTATAGAAAAACATCCTGAGGACTAAGCCCCTGTCATGTGTGCAGGTGCCCTCAGGCAGTGGCGATGCATAGGGGCTTCATGGGGGTGTACGTGCACCCCCTGAGAGCGCTGGTGCACCCCCTAACAGGCTGCACTCCCTGCTTAGGCGATGGGCAGTGGGGGTGTGAGGCTCACGCCCCTCTCGCCGCCCAGTCTATCGGGGTCTGCCCCTCCCCTCAACTCGCCCGCCACGACTTGGATGTTTAACACACTTTAAGAGGGGTCTACAGTGGAGATCTTAGCATGGTTGGGGCCTCCCGATAGGCGGTGGTACTCACGGTCGTTCGACGCGGTGTTCCACAGAGCTCCGCCTCCCCTACACCCCGTCCACATGCCAGCCGTTGGATGATGCATTACAGATGTTTCCTGGCCTCGTATGACGGCCTCAGACCGGTTCCAGGGTTCCGGTCGCTCTCCCTCCCTTCTGGAGGGAGCTTTCCTTCTCTCTTTTTATTTTTATAGAAAATATTCCTCTGGGTCAGGAGGAGCTGCAGACGTATCCCCCTTATTTCAGCTCCCTCCCGGATTCTCAGCTGTTTCCTCTCCCTTACCACAAGCAGGGAGTTCCCTTGCCCCCTGAGTGCAAGCTCCTTCAGGTATGTGCAAGAGTGCCTCCGCCTGCTCTTCTTGTCTGCCTCCTGCTCTGCCTCCCGCAGGAGGCTTAAAGCCCTTCCCTGGGCTGCCTGCTAGAGCCTCGCAGGCTAGGTTGCTTCCTCCCCATGCCGGAGCTTGCCTCACGAGCTGCCAGTGCGTGCTCACTCTCTCCGGCTCTCCCCCTGTCCCCGCTCCGACGGGGTTTTTAAATCTTCCCGCAGCAGCCGATC